TCCTGGCGATTGGCCCAAAGTCACCCAGCTGGCTTTCATGGCTAAGGCGGGACTAGAATTCCTTGTCTCCTGGTGATTGGCCCAAAGTCACCTAGCTGGTGTCAGTTTTGGAAGGCATATTTTACTTAGAAGCTTCCAAGCTGCCACATCTTTGGGCCTGGGAATTTGGGAGGGGGGAATTTCATGGAGAGGTGGAAGATTAGACATAACAACCTTATTCCCATAAAGTCAAGGACAAGTGACCCTGCACCTGCAAAGCTGTGCCTGGAAGAATGTCTCCCGTTGGGACAAGGGTTGATTGGGCCATGGGATGGACTGGTGGGTGCAGGGGATGATGGGTCTCTGGACTTTCCGTTGGGAAGGGGAAAGCCAGAACTCTCAGATTTAGGTTTTCCCCGATGTGCCCGTTTGGCTCCCTTCATAAATTCTTCCTGGAATGAACATTGTTTCTGAGTGCTGAATAAAGTGGGGAGTTTCGTGGGAGTGCTGATAGCTGGCTTCCATGTCTAGGCAGGACTAGAACTCGCAGTCTGGTTGGCCCAAAGTCAACCAGCCAGCTTTCACAGCCAAGGCAGGACTTGAGTTCATGGACTCCTGCTTTCTAATCTGGTGCCTTAACTACTTCACCATCGGTGGCCAGGGGCTCAGGGTTCGAAACAGGGTCCTGTTTGGGTACTTATTGTGGGAAGCGCTCCTTGGGCTCCCTCCCCTCCATCTCGGCTTACCTGAGACACTTCTCAACTTAGCGCAGTACTCCTCATGATCAGTATTGCCGGGTTCAAATATTCCCCAGGATGTATAATCAAAATTGGAGCCATCAGTCCACTCCCAGGTGCGATTCTGTAATGACAGAGGAGCCATGTCAGCCAACTGAGGAAGGGGCTCTGGCTATGCAAGGCCAGGGGGTAGGGGTACACCAAACTCTCTCTCCCCCCTCTCTTTCTCTCCCTCCCTCTCTCTTTCTCTCTCTCTTTCTCTCCTTCCTTCCCTCCCTCCTGCCTCTCTTTCTCTCTCCCTTTCTCTCCCTCCCTCCTTCCCTCCCCCTCTCTCTTTCTCTTTCCCTCCCTCTCTTTCTCTCTCTTTCCCTCCCTCTCTTTCCCTCTCTCTTTTCCTCCACCCTCCCTCTCTTTCTCTCTTTCTCTCCTTCCTTCCCTCCCTCCCCCCTCTCTCTTTCCCTCTCTCTTTCCCTCCCTCTCTTTCTCTCTTTTTCCCTCCCTCTCTTTCTCTCTCTCTTTCCCTCCCTCCCTCTCTTTCTCTCTCTCTTTCTCTCCTTCCTTCCCTCCCTCCTGCCTCTCTTTCTCTCTTTCTCTCTCCCTTTCTCTCCCTCCCTCCTTCCCTCCCTCCCTCTCTTTCTCTTTCCCTCCCTCTCTTTCTCTCCCTCCCTCCCTCCCTCCCTCCCTCTCTCTCTCCCTTTCCCATGTGGGGACTCCTGGGAGGGGCTGAGTGGGGACTCCAAACCAGATGTAAAATTAACATCCGGTTCTCCTGAACTGGCGTGAACCAGCTGAATCCCACCCCTGGTCTTATCCAAGGCAAGAATATTCCATAGGGAGAGAGATCTGTGACTCCCATGGGAGGGCTGGTTAGTAAAAAAAAAAAAAAAAAACACCATCAGAAACAGTCAAGATAAATCGATAAAGATTAACATCAGAGAGGACTTACTTTCCCTGGATCATTCAGTCCAATCCAGACATCAGTGATGACCAGTCTCCTGAAGATCGCCGTTTGGATGTAACGGGACTCTACTTGGCTGTGGATGGAGGCCAGATGGCTGCTGTTATGAAGCTGCACGCAGGATGCCTGGGAGAGAGAGGCACAACAGAGAAACATCCTGGTTCAACAGAGAAGGACCCTGCGGTCTCTGTGCATTTGTAAGGAGCCGCGGTGGCGCAGTGGTCAGAGGGCAGTACTGCAGGCTCCTTCTGCTGACTGCCGGCTGACTGCAATTTGGCAGTTCGAATCTCACCAGGCTCAAGTTGGACTCAGCTTTCCGTCCTTCCGAGGTTGGTAAAATGAAGACCCAGATTGTTGGGGGCAAGAGGCTGACTCTGTAAACCGCTTAGAGGGGGCTGTGGAGCACTGTGAAGCAGTATATAAGTCTAAGGGCTAAAGAAGGAAGGGAGGAAGAGGGAGGAAGAAAGGAAGGAAGGAAGGAACGAAGGAGAGAAAAGGGGAAGGAAGGAAGGAAAAGAGAAAAGGGGAAGGAAGG